ATGTCCAGGCGTGTGCCAGTCCGCAACAAAAAGCCATTATTTGCCTTTCCCAGGAACAAAAGAATTATGCAGTCGCAGATAACACTAAATGATACGATGGGGCATATGCTACTTATAGCCTAATCCCAGACTCAGCCACTGATGAACTTCGACTCCATCTTAAGGCCAAACTCTCTCGAAGGTTTCGTGTAGCTAATCTCGATGCGATTCGCGTCTTTCACCTCACCTTACCTCACTACATTTCTGTTTGACCATCACGTAGCTGGCAGACGCTTGTCGGCGTTGTCCTGGCTTCATTACATTTTAATTTGGATAACTTCTTGACTCCGCACAGAGCTCTGCTGTGGCCGCTTGACAGACGATTCTGTCTGCCGCTCACTGAGGCCACTTGGCTTGCTATTCACATTGTGGGTCACAAACTAATCATGTCCCAGTCGCCATGCATTATTTTGTGCGCATTTTCTGATTGCCAAAATCGCCAGAGAAATCAGCAAAGTGCGTGACGACAAAAACAAAAGCAAACACAGCAACCAAAGTATTGTTGGCCAACATCAGTTGGAATTATGAGCTTTTGCCGAGGATAATGCTGCTTGAGAGCAGCTCTTGATAATTTGGCAGTTGACAATCACAAATTTCGACAGATTTGCAGTCGTCTGTTTCGAAAAACACTGAAAATCAATTTGCTCTTGAAATATATCTTTTGGCAACAAATTATGCTAAGCATTGAAATGTGTTCAACACTCTCTCGATTTGATGTCATGCAATATTATGGTATGTCGCAATTGCATTTAAAGAGGGCAAAATGATAAGCCACAAAATTAAATAGAAAATATTTAATGCTTGTATTTCGCACTTTCATTACCCATTTTATAGACTAAACTTTAACTGCAAAAAATAGATATACTGATATGATAAAAAAGGTATGATATTTTTTTGTTTTTTTTTTTTTATATTTTTATACATATTTTTATACATATTATATAATTATATAATTATATAATATATTATAATGCACAAGCATATTGCGCTCTACAATCTCTACAAATTTCCATTAAAATTCAATATTAGCTTTTTATCTTCTAAAATTAATGCCACTTAAAAAGTTTCAAAATTTCTCTAAATTATTAATTTGAACCAGATTTATGTATGCCACCCTATAAACATATGCTTAAAGGACAGTCTGCTCATATGCTTATTAAAATATGCTAAAAAATCATTATTCATTATGATTAATGATTTTATATTCCAAATTTGTTTCAAATTTGTTTATTCTGAAATGTCTTTGATCTTGCTTTGAACTTATTTATAATTAAATTTCTATTTCATAATTTCTGCCAATAAAAACGGGATTTCATTTTAAGTTAAAATACTTTGCTAGAATAGCATCTATGGTTAGGTAGCTTGAAATAGTTACGAAAGTGTGATGAGCCAATAAATCACAATGCTAAAGCCAATTTTCAGTGCGTCGAGTTGGAGTCCGAGCTCGAGCTTAAGGTTGCGTTTAACACTTAGTACCCATGTCCCGTAGATGTCCAGGATTTGTCCCAGGTCGGCTGTCAAACATAATCACCTTGAGCCGCCAGTGCAGCCGCAGTTCCCGCTACCTCGAAGCTGGCAGACACCCTCTCATCAGAGGCCAGAGTTTTATATATTTTATTTTTATTTTTTTTTTGTATTTTGTAGCGTCTGTCTCGGAGCAAACGAATCTATTCTCAAAGGAAATTTATGCCGTTTGTCTCTGTGTGAATGAAATATTTTATTTTGGTTTTTATTATAGCAGCCCGTTTGAGTTTTTAACACATTGTAGAGCATTTTGTGTAATTTCCACACGTTGCAGGCACTCCGACGTCCGAAGGGCTGTTTGCGGATCATCGAAAACTTTTGCCAAGCCCACAAAACAAAATGTTGTCGAAATTTTCGCCACTGTCCACAACTCGGACACAAATGATTAATGTGCTGCCAACTCTCAACGCCAAATAATAAATTGTTTTTTGCGCTTTTTTCCCATTTTTTATAAGAGAAAAAACCCTACTTGAACTGGGGGCAGAGCATGAAAACTGCCCTGTCACCATTTGCTGAAACGTTTTTTATTTAATCTTTTATTAGACGTGTACAAAATGCATAAAAATATCAGCCCAGTGCTCAAAGTCTGTGCGAAAATAACATTTGTAATGCCATAAGTCATTGGAATGTCATTCAATAAGACTTTTGCATAGCATTGACTTTTAGCTAACTAATTATGGAAAACTAACAAAAGCGAAATTGTTTATGTTTTGATGCCATTTAAGGCAAATATTTTTTTACTTATATTCAAAATTTTATATATAAATTCACTTAGTTCTTTGAGTCCATCTCATATATATATAAACTTGTATAATTCATCTTATTAAATATGAGTATAAAAATTAAAGAATACAAACTTTATACTACGACTTCAAGCAGCTCAAGTAAAGGCTTTTATTATGACAAAGTGAAGTAAGCTCAAATACTTCTTTCTTATCTTCTCTCTTTGCCAACTATCAATGGAATTCACTCTTCGATTCTTAGCAGAGACAACATTTTATTATTGAACAATACAAATTATTTGGATATTTATATACATGTTTATATTTGACTTGAATATTTAACCGGTTTTAAGATTTTTTATAACATCTTGAGCAACTTACTGTTTACCTATTAAACTATGATAAAACAGGTAATATTATTTTTTATGTAGACTGCCAGACTAGGAGATAGTTTATATTTACCTACAAAGTAGTCGCTATATTAAAAAGTTATTCCCTGATCTTTAGTCAGGGTTTGAGTTGGCTTTCAATTCGCAGTCTATTGTATTGCAGTAGTACTTAAGCAAATGAGTTTGTGTTGATGATTTAGAAAGCTGCAAGTCAGCTTCACAATTCATTGGAGAGATACAACTTTCTGTAAAACTTGAGCTTCAGACACGTTAATGAAATGGTTTGCAGCAAAGTTGATTTTTTTGCTTACTGTGTCTTTAGACATGGTAAAAACTGATACGAAAATAGAGCCTGGTTTGAATGAAGCTGAGTTTAAGTCACTTCGTGTACTGTTATCGAAAGTTGTATGTTCCACAAACTAGAATTAAATCATTAAATAATTAAATTTAACATTAATAAACAAGTAACAAAAGCACCCATGCACTTACTTAAATACGTCGTTTTAAAAATTAAAGAATTCACTTAATTAGTAAGTTAATTAAACTATATTATTAATTTAAATAATTTACTAAATTATTAAATTATATAATTTATTTTAAATAATTAATTTCAAATAATTTTTTTGTCATTTTAAATATTTATTTTTATATAATAATTAATAAAAAAAATTTAATTTATAAACCTAAATAAGTTTTAAATAAGCTTAAAATAATCAATTTGAAAAAAAAATAATTTTGAAATAATTAATTTTATGTAATTAATTTTAAATAATTTACGTTTTTATAATTTATTGTTATATAATTTATTTAATTTGTTTTATATAATTTTAAATAAATAAATTGTAAATAATTCAATGCAGTAAATTAATTGTGAAATAATTCGTTCAATTAGATTTAAAATTTTTGAGGTTTACTTACATTTCTTCTTTGAATTTATAATTAGTTTATACAGCTTGATTTACATGACGTGTTCACGTATTATTCACACAATGTCATGCTGAGGTATTGTTAGCTTAATTAATTATTGTGAATTTGGTTACGTTTCACTTGATTTATGAGGCATATTTTTTACCTCTTACGTTTTATTCTTTCGTGTGCATTTTTTAATTGTGTAATTTTTTAAAATTAGCTTTAGCTAATTCATAATGAAATATTTATTTATAATTAGTACTTAGTACAAAGTATTCGCAGAATATGTGTACGGCATCTGTTAGTCGAGCAGGCTTATTTAAAATATTTTGACTTAATTTTATAATGGGAAGCTGAACTGTTGTATAATGCAACTGATATTCACTAGTCGATTATTATGAATTCACATAATATTATCATTTGGCTGTTTAATGTCGCAAACATTTAAATCGATTTCTTAATGAGCAGTCAACGAGTTAATTAAATTGGCAAGCTCGTATTAAGCTGGTTTAAGATAACAAAATATTGAATTTCAAATTAGATATTTTCGCTAAATCTTCCCATTTTAAGTTTAGAGATCTGAAGTTTGTTATGAGCATATTATGTGAATTACTTTGATTGCGTTCATCTTGGGTTTCCAAGAAAGACGTTTTTTTATATCAAATCTACGTAGAGAGGAAGAGAGAGAGAGGTTATTGCCCGAAGCAGCTAAGAAAATAAAGAAGTTAAAGATACTTCAAAAATAAGGTCAGCACTTCAGCCAACAAGAGCCGCACTTGGCCAAAATACAAAGAGGTTTTCAGTGGCAAAGAGATGTAATGTAAAGAGAGAGTGAACTAAAAGAGAGAGAGAGAGAGAGAGCATCACGTGGTTCGGTGACTGCGAGTGAATATAAAAAACAAAAACAAACAAAAAACGTAAAAAAAGCAAAACCAACAAATCGAGTTTGACAAAATCCCCAGATATTCCAAATTAACAAACGCCTATTCCCGCCCTTTCTTGTTTTGCAAGTTTTTCTTTATTAGCATGCGAATGTGCGTCTATGAGTTACGTCGATCTAATAAACTCGGTTTTATTCACTTTGCAGACATGGAAAATTTCGCATTCTTGAGTACATTAGACTAACTCTTCCCCCAAAAGTACGGTCACATCTGGGGTAGAGAGTTGAATTTAAGACTTCTTCTCGCGTAGAGCAAGTCAAAAACCTTCCAGATTCTCAGCAGCTTATAAGATTTCTTGATTTTATGACTTGAGTTCTTTTGTTTTGTTTCAGCTTCAGCTTCAGGTTCAGCTCTGGGCTTGGTCTGTGCCTGGGCTTTTGCCTGTCTGGTTTTGCGATTTGAGCGCTTCTTCTTCTTGTTGTTATTCGCACGACGTCAGCGCTAAAAATTTCCATATAAAAGCCGCCAGCAGCGGCATTGTCAGTTTAGTCGATTTGGTGTTTTATCGCGCCGCGTTCGTTGCTTAAGTCTTTCGTTTTTTGTGCTGTCTTCTACCGTTGCTGACTAATCTGTGACTGTGCTTGGTGAATATTTGTAGTTGAATCTTTAGTTGGACTGAGTTTATCAACATGAAGTACGCTGTCCTCGCTCTCGCCCTCTTCGCCGTTGCCTACGCCGCTTCCGGTGAGTACGATGGATGCGTCATCAGCGCTTAGAACTCTTGATAGACTCCACTAAGTATTTACTAAAGTTGGCAGCTCAATGCCGCAATTACATCATCGCCTATTAAATTCGCGTTACGATTATTAGAAAACAAACTAAAACTCAAACTCAAACTCAAGCCCAACGATTGTTATTATCGTCTTCATCTTGACTCTATGCGTCATTAGCGCCTTTGAAGACGTGTATGCTAATACGTTAATGTGATAAAAAAAGGTTCAGCTGCGCAGAACATCCATATATATAGTCGCATTTATGTATTTATAAATTTGAGTAAATACAATATATTGTTAATTTAAGAAAATACAAAATTCGTTGTCTAAAAACAAATAATTAATAAAACAGGTTCAATGAAACTCAATAGCTGTGGAGCCAACTCAAGATCATTTCATAAAAACAATTATATATATTATAAATTTATTTTGCTTAGTCATTTTGCACACAATTATAATACATTATAATGCGTACATATAATAATTATAACTAATAACTTGAAGACGTTTGCTATATTCTATTAGAGGATGGTTGGCAATGAAAGCAAGTTGACTGAAACTATGTAAACTTATTGTGCTTCAGTTTATGGCTTATATTATTAGAATTTCTATATTGAAATACTATATATTAATTAATATATAACAAACTTTTTTCAATAATACCTAAAATCAAGTCTTATATGAACAGTTGTTCTTAACTCTTAATATTAACTCTTAATATTAACTCTTAATATTGACTCATCAGAGAGACTAGAGGGAAACAAAGGCATCATTTCCGTTTCATTACACTAGAAGTTTAATTTGATAAAGTTTTGAGAGATTCATCTTATACTACAATCTCTTATAACTATGTCGAAGAGCATATTCAAGCTTCGGCTTGTCAAGCAAACTTTTACATTCATTCCTTCATTTAATGGTTATTTATATTTGAACAGCTCAAGGCTTAGTGAATTGAGAACGTTTATGTGCCTGATAAGGATCACTTTGCTTTCAGACACATTTCATTTGACGTTATTAAAACTACATTAAAGTCAACTTTTAATATGCTCAGTGACTAATACAAATTAAGTGCTATAATTAGCCAATTTGCATCAGCCTCTGCACAGCTAGTATGCCTTTCCTGCTTCTGCAATATGGCAAAACCGAGCTAATCTTGTTTAACTCCAATTATTATTAGCAGTTAGTAGTAGTTAGCATTGATTTTAATCAAGTGGACTTTAAAATATTTAGAATTCAAACAGGTTTTTTATATTATACTCAAACAAAAAATTGTTTACTTTGGAAATTTTCCTAGAGCATAAAGTAATATTTTAGGTTTTATTTTAAAACATAATAATGACAATAAAATATTCATAATAATTAAAAATAAGCATATTTTATATATTGTTTTATTGTAATATTAAGAATTTGCTTCATATTAATTTTATATTTTTATTATCTTTTTAAATACTTATAAATTTGTTCGCTTTTTATATAAATTGTTAAAAAATTTATGATAAAGTATTTATTAATTATTATTATTTTATAATTATATTATGTTAAATATTTATGCATAATTATAATTATATAATTATATTATACTATTTTTAATTTTGTTAAATATTATTTTTTATAATATATTTCATTATTATATTATGAATTATATATATTAAAGGAAGAGTCATTTATTTTTTATTTAAAAGAATTTTAAATCAACTGCTGAAAAAGATAAAGAAAGTTATCATTCATACAAGTCGACAATTGTATATTCATTATGAATTTTGAGAAAGTTAAAACCTTTTTTGTCCGAGCTCTTTCTCTATGCACATTATGCACATTCCAATAGATTTATATCTAATCTCTACAATATTTCACAGATGCTGGCCAATATGTGCCCAAGGCCATCTATACATTGGACTCCGAGGGCCATAAATCGAATGTGTATCCCGTTAGTGCTCGTTTGCTGAGACGTTTGCGTCGCCAGGTGTTCTCCTCGTCATCGTCTTCGTCGTCATCGTCGTCTACGAGCGGTGGCACTACCATCGTCTCCTCAACCCATCACGTGCAGCAGCCCGATGGCTCGACCGTCAGCGGTGGAGCCTTTCAGCATATCGTACAGTGCGTAATGAGTCGAAAGTAGAAAGCAAGTTTCCATATGACAATATATATATATTTATGTTTCAGGCCCGACATCACCATCGGACAGCGTTTCGGTGAGGATTCGGCCTCTGACTATAATGCGCCAGTGGCAGGCCTTTCTGCACAGGCTGCAGGCAACCAGGGCGCCTATAATACAGGCGCCTATAATACAGGCGCCTATAATACAGGCAGCTACAACAAGCCTCAAGGAGTTGTGATCAGCTACACTGACACCCAGGATGCGCAGGGCAACAGGCGGCATCATGAAACCCATGGCACCATTGGCAGCGATGGCAAATGGAAATACGACCAGACGAGCTACAAGACGAAGACGAACTAAGTGCCAATCTCCCACCTCCCAACTACCACTGTCCCCCTGCCCCTTCCCACCCACACTCACACACACAGAATTATTGTCTGTGGCCTACTGATGTGTAATAAAAAGTGAATACACAGCCACAGTGTTTCGTTTGTTTTCGTTCAAAGGTCATTCAATTGCTTGCAAGTGGGCGTGACCCACCCAGCGCCTCTGTTGCATCAGCTGCCTTAGGCTTGTGCGTGGCACACACTTTAGATGATTGCAACCCGCCCGCTTGGTGAGCGGCTGCTGTTTAATCTCTCAAAAAGTGCACAGCCTGCTCCACTGGGCACAAACAATGACAGAGTGGGCGTGTGCACATATGCAGTGTGCAAAAAGCCAGTGTTGGTAAATGGTGCACGTCGGTCGAGCGCCTGCTCAACCAAGCGGAACTACCTGAGCAGGCTTCTAACGCTGATTAAAACCACGACTAGTGCCGCAATGACAAATGGCAAACTATGATGTCAGGCCTTCCGAATGGGCGTCGGCCAGGGGGGCGTCGTAGGTGGCATGTGGCTGGGCATGTAAATCAAAAGATGCAGCAGCCACGACAAGATATGAATATGTTATTTGCTTGGGGAATTGCTCAAGTCTCAACAGGTACACGCACTTTGGCACCAGCTCGCGCTGGTTAAGAATTAGCAGCAGCCAAAGTTCAACTGAAAAAGAGTTAACAAAGCATAGTACGCTCGACTGAGGAATACCCTGTATTAAAGCGATTAGCTAGTTCAGTTTATAATGAAGGGCATGACACTTAACTGAACTCACTGTACTTACATTGAGCTCAGATATCTTATATTGATCGACTAAAAAGTACCCTGCATTGTAGAGCATTAGTTAAGCATACTCATCTCGCTTAACAGTTTTCCGTCAGTATTATGAGTTATCATAGTGTATTGATATACATAATACCCTGCATTACAGTGCTCAAATTTAAGCACTTGTTAAATTATGATTAAGTATTCTATATTCTCGGCTGGGATGGGATGGTAGTTCAGGTAGTTTAGAGCTCATAATTTAAGGACTGAAACTGGTAGTTCCTAAATTCGCTAGAAGCTCTCTAAATATTGAGCATCTTGTAATCCCCTCTGTGGGCAGGCAAACCGATTAAGTGCCTAGGCGCGAGAGTCCGTTCCATTAGGTCTTCAGTCCATTTTTATATAGTCTTAAAAATTGTAAAACATAATCTACAGCTGTAGCCCGCTCGATCAGGAAGAAGTAATGATATTCGACTATTAATCATACAACACGATCTCAAAACTTTCGAATCTTAGTTTTTATAAACTTTGGTTTTATTCTCTCAAAATGTTCCCTCGTAAATACTCAACTCATCAGTCGTGTATACCCCTTTGGATGCATAGGTTTACAGGACTTTCAACAGCTTTCCACCCGCCAGAAAAGTTTTCGCAACTTCGCTGGCTGTCGACTCGGCGCACGGCTTTTCAAAAAGTTTTTAATTATTATAATTAATTACTTTGATCTCTGCTGCCGCAACTGTTTTGCTCCGCAGCTATGGTTGCCTGTTGGCGCATCTATTAATTTACTTGATTATGTTGGGGTTTACGGGTAATTCGTTTAGATGTCTTCTGCCTTCAGCCCACTGCCTTCTGCCCTCTGCCATGTGTTTCCAAGTACTCGTTTCTGCTTCGCGCATATGTGCGTCGTCTTTTATTATAATTTATTCCACGTTGTCGTGAAAGTGTAATGAATTTAGCAGCGCATGTATTAAATCAAATTCTCTACATGGTTTGCTTTCCGAATTTCATACTCTTCGCTCAATGCTGACAATTTTTGCTCACCTATTTCTACTTAAATACTTTCCACTTTGATCCAATTTCTATTGAATATATTAGCCTTTTATGATTCACTTCTCTTACAGCTTTATTTTGTATTACACTTCACAGAACTTGTACTTTCATAAAGTTTATAGATGAGCGCATGATATTTGAGCTGAGCATATTTCAATGAGCTAAAAGGAGGTCTTGTCTTATACTTATAACTTTTTGAGCTTAATTTACTTTTTCTTTAAATTTAATTTCAAGTAGCAATAGACAATAGCAATAGATATATTCAATATACCCAAGAAAGTTATAAGCATAAGATGTTACAGCTAGGAATATTAACTTCTTTCACCTGTTTAAAAAATACTTAAATCAAATGTCCTTAGATCATAAAGGGCAGACAATCACACAGGCTTTTGATGTCAGCATGGGAAGGAATAGCCCTTGATTGTTGAACAACTTTAATTACCTTATTTATCTATATAAAGTATAATTTATGTCGAACATTTTGCTATATAAACTGCTGAATAGATAGCTGCATAAAATAGATAGATACAACTTATATATATTATGTATATATATGAAGTGCAATTTATGATTTAAATTTCCAAGATGATTTCATATTATATATGGAGCTAAATAGATAGATAGAAATAAATTACTTATAAAACTAAATATCATAAATAAATTTAAATAAGTTGCAAGTCAATAAAAAATAAAAATATTATCAATAAGAATTGCTACTTAGATAAATCCTAGATAAGTTCTCTAACTGATTGGCCAGCTGAAACATAACAATCCCTATATATGTATATCTTATATCAAGCATATTTATCTATCAAAAGTTATTTATTTAATTATTAACTATTTGATTGACATTTTATAGTTTGCAAAGTTCACTCAATTTAGACGAACTCATCGCATGTAAATTGGGATTGTTGTTTTATGTGTTGCAATTGTCAGCAAACTTTTGGGCCTTTTGTGTGGGGCAGCTCGTCGCTAGGCAAGAAATGAAAGGCAATTTGATGGAACTGTCATGAGCCCAGCGGCTGGGGAGAGAAAAGCTCTGGCGAGCATCGAAATGCTCGAGTCGCCACAATACGGGGCATACGCAAAAAGCGCATAGCTGCGGTCGTGTTCTGAATTTTTATGAAACGAGATTGGCGGTGGCACAAAAAGCGGGCCACTCTCTGATTGATGGGGAGTCAAGCGGAGACAACTTGTAGCTGGGGCATGGAGCGCAACAAATTAAGCAACTTGTGTGGTCTCTCTGGCCACCGCCGAAGACGCCACCTGGCCAGAAGACTCCAATCGAACGATCGCTAACTCCAACTCCAACTCCAACTCCATTTGCAGGCGATGCCAAATTCAGTGTACAAAACCCAACGCCGACTGCCGCCGGACACGAGCGCCGATGCCGATGCCGATGCCGATGCCAATGACGTTGGCGATTCCTACGCTGGCCAAGTGACATTTTATTGGCGTCCGAGAGCAAGAAGGCCACGTTTTTGCTATTTAGAGGCATGAAAGCAGCGGCGGGTCCTCACATGGATAATTGACAACAGTTAATTCCATTGAGCAGACGCCGATATGCCAGCGAATTTAATTATTGGATCGCCGATGTGGATGCCGATGAATCTGGGTGGGCGGCAAGGCTACCCCAAATCGAATGTTTTCTGTCACTTTTTCGACCTGCCTGCTGCCTCCCGCCTCCTACTTCCCCCTCGTGCATGAATACTCTGCAATCTACGAGCTGCAAAACAAACAACCTGTCCAAAGCAGAAGTCGCAATAAAACAACAGCAAACAAATCAAAAAACTGTTGACAAATTTTTGCCATTTCAGCGCAGCAACTGCAGATGCAGATGCGATGCGAAGGCAGCTGTGGATGAGGAGCAACAACGAAAAAGGAAGACCATAAAAAAGGAGAGCCTGTCGTTGGCATCATCATCGGAAGCGGAAGCATAGGCAAATTGTGATTTCTGTTCAGCGCAAGGACAAGGCTGTGGATGCGGATGTGGATGAGCCAAGTGGCATTTGCCGCGGGGAATGGTACTGCATCTCGTTTACTGTTGACTTAAATCGTTTAGGTAAAGTTAAACAACTTGTTCGCTTAATTGTTAAACAATGCTCGGCCAGACGAGCCAACTGTGAGCGATCCAGGCACCGTGCCCAGGTCCGACTGATGTCCGAATAATTGATGAGCGTAGACCGGAGAGCGGGCAACAATCGGAAAAGCAAATGCAAATGCAAATGATTTGTCCCAGTGCTTTAAGCGTTTTTGATTATGCAAACAAGAATATTTTTCACATTGAACGCTTATCAATCGATTTTCTTATTAATAATAAAAGAACGAGCTTCATGTCTTATTTGACTATGTGAAAATTATTATTTGTAGAACAACTTTGCAGTTAAAAAAAAATATTTGTAGAGCAAATTTAAAGAGAATTATAAATAGAAAAACATACTTTATCTTATATACATCTTCTTCTGATATGAATACATAGAAACAGCTTCAACGTCTCATGGTTCACTATCTACATACTACATATATTACTTGCTCCTAACCAATAACTAAATCTATTCTTTGGCTTAGAAAAAAAAGATTTTTTTATGTTTTTTTTTTATATAAAGAATTGCCATATAATTCATGAATAAATTAATAAAATGTATATTCTTAAGTTTCTTTTTCAAATTATGTAGAGTTATAAGAAATGTAGTCAAATCGATGTATAATTTTATTGCTTTGTTAAGGCTTGAAGTCTGACCTTTATGATTATATAACTGTGCCTGTTGCACTTATATACATATATATGTGCTATAAAAATGTATAAAATTTTGTGAATTATTTTAATTTCTTAAAATATATGAAAATCTAGAGCAAGGCACTGCAAATCTGTGAAGTGAAGAGAAATACTCAAATATGTTTTATACTAGACTAAGAACGTTGCTTTTGTCTGTAAATGTGCAACAAGAACTTCAAATCAAATTTATATACATATTTATACTTGTTATTAAATATAAAAAAACCTCAGTATTCCAATATGAAATAGTAAATACTAATATTTAAACATTTTCATGCTCTAAACCTATAGTATTTAAAAAAAAAAAACATTTTTTTAATATTATTTTATTATTTTTAATATTTTAAAATGTTATCAATATATACACAATTACATAAATATTAATATATAGCAGGTAAGCGCTTTAAATATTTATTGAAGCCATAATAACAACAAATATAAAGTTCAAGTTATTCTGATTAAATTGATCCTTTTCAAAGTTTTCTATACAAAATGCTAAAATTTGGGTAGCAA